CGCGGGTCATTTTTAGAACGTATCTCCCGCGATAAACAAGGGACCACTGTATAACAATTACCTGATGCTTATCTATTAAGACTTCACTTGTCTTTCAGATCTACTCCTTTCATGACATGCTGGTGGCTGAGAACCCCAACTTGGTGAGCAAGATAGTGATTGGTCAGAGCTATGAGGACCGTCCCCTTAATGTGCTCAAGGTAAACCTGCTATTGAAAAAGAACTGAATGAACATCATGGCAATGAATGCATGCTCTTTAAAAAGAACAAACACCCTGTAATTACAGAAAGTACCTTTAAATTTATTAGCCTTTAGAAATGGATGGATTATTATTGTAGGGCATTTACCTTATAATATAAAGCGCCTTGAGGTTGCTGTCGATGTTTTTTGGCAGTATATAAATATAAATGGAATTGAACTGAATTGAATGGCTAGCTGGGTGCATGGATGGATGGATGGACCTCATGCTTTCCTTTCCTATGTTTTAGTTCAGCACTGGTGGAACCAACCGCCCTGCCATCTGGATTGATACTGGAATCCACTCAAGAGAATGGGTCACCCAGGCCAGCGGACTATGGTTTGCCCAGAAGGTGTTTCGGCAGTCTGGCTATTAGCATCAATACTTTTTTTGTTGTTGTTTGATCTTATCGGTCTCTTCCAGTTCCAACAGCTAACTGATTACTCTCAAAATTGTGTCCTTTTGATTTTTATTGTTAGATTGTGACTGATTTTGGACGTGACCCTAAACTCACCGCAGTCCTCAATCAGATGGACATCTTTCTGGAGATTGTGACCAACCCTGATGGCTACGCCTTCACCCACACCAATGTGAGTCTGTCATAGTTAGACTTTTCACATCATAGTTTCATTTTCAGGGACTGACATGAATTTGTTACATTTTTACAATATTATCTTCTATAAAAAAAAAAATAATTAGAAGAAACAAACAAACAAACAAACAAAAACTAGCTGTTTAAACCCTGTAAAGTCCAGGACATCCCAATGATTCTAACTCTGTACTATCAGAAGATGTAATATCCTATATATTTGTACAATCACAGTGAGAGCTTGGTCTGTATTGACAGTAATACAGCAATAATTAAAAAAACCCAAAACAATTCCTGGCAGATATTGGACACCAGCACTGCTGTCCTCTGTCACAGTTTTTGTTCACAATTTATATGGACAGTTTAACTATCTTGGGGTCTTATGATGTGGGGTGAAGCGGGAGGTTTACATATGAACTGGTGCAGTCTGTTGTGGTGAAGAAGGAGCTGAGCTTAAAAATGAGGCTGCCACTCTGTTTCCACCGTGGGTAGATTTATCTTAGTGATAGGCTGAGAAGCT